GAAAACAAAACTGTTGTAGCAGATGATAATTTATGCTTTCAAAAATATACCTGCAGTTGAAAAAAAAAAAAAAAAAAAATCCAAGCAGATATTTTTATACCACAGCAAAATTGTCTAAAAATGTGCCCACAGCCTCTGTATTACAGCTATTTCTGTATTTCCATCAAATCGTGATGCAATTTTCCACAAGCACTAAACTTATCCATCAGGATAAGACAAAATCAAAATGTACAAATCCATCTCCAGTAATGCAGAAACAGAATGCATTTCTTTTCACTTACCCTAAAGACAACCAGACTAAGACATGTCTATAATATTCTGGTGGCTTTTATCGAAGGCTTTGATCCTTCTTGCTAATGTTCTGAGGTAAGACAGATCCTCCACAATCCTCCTGATAACCACGATGTTACTCTCATACTGTGACTAATGGCATATTAACTTAATGGCACACTACAACTCCTATTTTAAAAACATCAGACTGTATGACATTACACTGCTAGCTTTGATACCAGTACGGTACAAAAGTATCATGCAATATAAGCAGAAGTTCCTGTTTCTGTCGCATAGTATTTTCACAGTAGTGTTTCTATAGTAACAATTCCAATCCACGCACTTTACATGTGAAAAATTATAACTTTTATGAAGAAATTCAATTTTATGACTGCACATGAAATAATAATGCATGGAAGAAAATCGAAATAACGCAGTAATTAAATGTACTCTTCCTTAAAATGAAATTCACGACTATTACAGTAGATTCCCAATTAACTGGCCTCTGCATGACATCTGAGGGTGTAATGCAAATTAAAGAAAAAATATACAAAACAGCATTTACGAGTCACAAATGAGATTTATGAAGTACATATATACAAGTATCACATAAATAGCACCCAGACTCTGCACAGCTGGATTCCTTATAAGGAGCACATAAAAACTGCCCAAAGAACTGTACCTGTACGATCCATACTTTACAAGAAAAATAAGTCACAGCCAGTGCAAAGAAAAAAACAATTTATTTGACACATTAACAGCAGTATTTATAAAGACAAATGTCCAAAGTGTCTGCCATACATAATGAGGCAAGCATAAGCACACCGTGGAATGGATGAGTACGTATGTCGTAGCCGCATGGTGTCCACCCAAATACAAGCAGCATGCAGCTGAGCAACTAAGCCCATTTGTGTAGTCATTATGTCTCAATACACCAATTCCTTGAAATGGCCCCCACAGGAAAAATATAATGGTGTGAGATCTGGAGATCGTGGTGGTCATACAACAAGACTCCTCATCTGATCCAGTGGCAAGGGTATGCCACATCCAAACAATTAAATAGAGGTGCACAGAAATGCACTGGAGCCCCATCATGCTCGAACCAAAGGCCGTGTACTGCTGCTAAGGGTATATCATCAAGGAACTTGGTTAACACATCACAGAGAAATACCAAGTAGGACTGTCCCAAGAGCCGTTCCAGCAACAGATATGTTCTAAGCAGGCGATTCCCGAGTATGCCGGCCCACACATTTACAGATCAGTATTCCTGATGTTTCTGCAGCTAGATTGCAAGCAGACAAGATAGTACATGCAAGGAAACCATTATCTGTGTTATGCTGCTGCAACAACCATAAGCAAAAGTCCATGCATTTCAGAAAGTCATTTGGTTTTAGACCTTGCCCATTTTTATACCGAAATGGGTACAGGCCCTCTGACCATAAGAACCTGTGCACAGTACTTTTACTTGTATTCAGCTCACTGGTTAGTGCACGTGTGCTTACCTTGGGCATTTCTTCTACCTGTGTTGCCCTCAGGGCACTCTGTGGTCTTCCAACACTGTGATGATTGCTCTCAGCAGATGCTTCCCGTATTTCGCAGTCTGTCGTCCACTCTGCGGATGACTTTGGCATCGGGAGGACAGCATGACGGATATCGATAAGCAAACTGCTTAGGAGTTTGTAAGGCATTTCCATTACATTGGCAGCACATCAAATACGTCACATAATATCGATGAGCGGAATACATGATCATTATGCGAAGAGCACCAGTAGCTACAAATTGCAGCCTTTTAAATATGAGTTCAACAGCAACTTAACATCAATCCACAACACACGCATGCATGATGCAATATGTGCAGCAAATATTTTGAATGTTATCATCTGGAAAGATATGCAAACTGTTGTGCCGATTTTTTCGTTGAACCGGCTGTGACGAATTTTTCTCGTAAACTATGGATCGTACAGGTTCAGTTCTTTGGGCATTTTTTATGTAATTCCAATGAGGAATCTGGCTGGGCAGAGTTTGGGCACTATTTATGAGACACCCCATATAAACATAAATACATATGCTGCATACAAATGTTTAGTACGTACAGTCAAAAGTCGTTAATTCGGACACCCATAATCCGGACCTCAAAGCTAAAAACTTTCTGCGCATGCGCCGCGTTGACACATGCGCATAGGCGTTTATGCGTGCGCGTAAGACCTTTTATGACTGCACATATGCATTTGCGCAAGCGCAGAATACGTTTTCGTGTGCGCATTTTATGTGTAACGGACAGTATAAGCTAAAATTATCTATTTCAGTTAATGTTGATGATTGCGTTGTTCCTTAATCTTCGAAATGGATCCGGCTTATTATTTTTTGCAGACTTTAAGAGCAATTTTATAAAAGTAAACTTGAACTTTCGATTATGTCAAATAGAATTTCCGATGCTGGAGCTCCCAAAGGATCTACAAAACGAAAGTATGTTTCGATGTCCATTAAACAAAAAGTGGAATTGCTTCAAAAAATGGATAAAGCCCATGAAGAAGGTGACAAAGAGGTTAGTGAAAACGAAAAAATTTCGATTGACAAGTTAGTCGGTATTCTCAGCACAGCAATTACGGGACTTGAACAGCGGAACTTTTTAACTGAATAAGAAATTATGTCTGTTTATATAATTAAAGAGAAAGCATTATCACATAAAACTTAAACAACTTACATTGAAAGAAATGTTTAATAATGTAAACAAATAAATATTAAGCTTTTTTATTTTGCAAATTTTGATACCCTTTAGATCATAATAGTTCTTTATTTCATAAATTACGGTTTCATATTTTTAATTTTAGAATTTGTGCATGCTATCTTACGAGATTTAAACTGATGATCTATAATCCGGAAAAATCGATAATCCGGAATCGCCGAAGTCCCGACGAGCCCGGATTAACGACTTTTGACTGTATTTAAAATTTCTGCAATTGCTGTTTTGGTGCTTCCTGATTATTGTGACGTATAAACTCCTCACCAAATGGTCAGCATTTCTAACTACTGTCATTTATAGTGCTAAAAAATTCCATCATGAGAAAAACTCTGAACAGGCTGTGTATTATCACTACATTTATAGTATCAAAAACTGTTAGCAGCGAAAAAGTTGCAAACAATTTTTAATTTACCAAGGAATAATGAACATGCTAACAACTGCCAAATACTTCACTTTGATTGGTGATAAAGTTCTGTCATGTATCGATAATTTTGGCAGTTTAAATAACGGCGGCCATAAGAGTATTTACAAGTATTGCTATTTCATACTTCAGTTTGTGTCTTGAAGCACAACCATACCATCACATATTCATACAGATAACAACAATGGCAAATAAACTGTTTAAAAGTTTGAAATTTTTCAATATTGTAGTGCTGATCACTTGGAGCTGTGAAGAAATCTAGATGCCGTGACGTCATTCTCTCTACTACTAAGTGCTCCGAAGGAGCCATGCAAAATTTTGGGAATTACTGTATTGAGATGATAGACGATTGATGTGGGATCAGAGACGCTGCTTCTGTTTAAAACGAACTTTGACGAATCATTACTTTTTTAATTCTTGTAAATGTTAAATTTATGTAATAATCGTTTGTCAAATTAAAATGTCTTTTGTTTAATTAATATGTTCATCGTTTAAAACCCCCACAATATATTTATGATGTGCCATTGGTAACTTCATTTTTTGGTTTCTTCATATCGTAGCTTCCTTGAAGACCCTTTTTTCAACTCTTCTTTGCACTGTAAGGTTTATCCTAAGGTTTTAACAGTTATTTTTGGTTAAAGCTACTTTTCTGTCCATCCTAATTTCAGTTTACAATTTCCTAGCAGAATGTCTTTTTAGAATCACATTTAATGCAAATGACTAAGAGTAGTATTTAGGTCAAAGTTCCATTGACTTCGAAAGACAGCCTCAGAGTTCTGACTAGCGCGTGTTTGCCTTTTGGCTATGTCTTTAAGCTGTTACTACACTCAACCATATTACAGGCCCTTGATAGCTTCACCAACTTATTCAATATTTAGGGACCAACTAATTAGAATTTTGCTAAGTATTAGTTAAGTTTTACTTCTTATTATTTTGAGGGGCTTGGCTGTATGCCCTGACAAAGTGTCCATCTGTTAAGTCTTATTTTTGAACAATAAAGGGTAATTAATAGCTCTCGAGTTTACGTCTCTGTTCCCTGAACTTAAGCAATTGCTTGCTTAGCTGTTCACTAGGTTCCTCCACATTTAGTTATTAGATAATGGGTGGAACCCCACAGCATATTATTAAAGTAGTTTTTTTTTTTCTCTCTAGATTATGTTTTCAATATTTTCACTGTACTTTTTTCCAAATTTCAGTTCATTATGTATCTAAAATTTGTACATCTGTTATTATATTACAATGCTTTCAGTTTCATTTCAATACATTAAATGTTCTGTTTCAATTCTACAATTCAAATTAATTAAAAATAAAATAAAAACCAACAAAAATATGCACATGGGAACAATTATGATTCAAAAGCCATGGCTATCAACCACTGACTAAAGAAGCAAACTTCAAAGTTTTCATTCAGAACTACAATTAGCAGTGATCTTATTTAATTTTACTACCTGGATGAAATAATTCAATGTCTAAGAACAGAAATGAAAAAAAAAATGGCTTGATAAAAACATGCCCAACTGAATGAGACTAGATAAAAGGGATTGTAATATAAATGCAAATACTTACCAGTGTATGTTATACAAGCTCACTGGCAATGACATAGCAAATGTTCCTCCTACATAAATAACTTATTTTAAAACACACATTTTATGCTAAAAGAACAAAAAATTGTTACAGAAAAATACATATAAATATTCTATTACGGAGTCAGGAACACTCAGATTTTACTTTAGAAAAAGAGTTGCCCACAATAAAGGAAGTAGACAGATCACAGAACATCAGTACTTTGTTTCCAGTTTAGTTCGCCAAAGATCAACAAGTTGGCTCCAAGGTGTTTAGCTTTATCCTATTCATCTATCTACCTTTTAGCAAACATGATCCAATTCTAAAAGCCAGTCACAAATGCTCACATTTAGAGGACAGACTGAGACCTATGCCATAATCCATCAACCAACAACTTAAAACAAAGAACTTAAGTACTTACAAAGATTAATAATTGCAATGACTAATAACTGCATTGGATATAGTTTTCTTGCAAATGTTGGCATATGATCCAATGGTTTTGAAAACAGTGTCATTTTAGTAAAACATTTAATTTCTTAATTCATTTCAAAGCCATCTATTTCATTTCAAAACCATCAATTTATTAGGTAGCCCTCTAAGAGATAGTAGGAATACTTAACATAATTCCTACTATCTCTTCTGCTATTTTTTATTATTCACTGATGCTACAAGTTAACAGTAACCAAAAAGCCATGACTATAAAAGTATATACAATGGCTAAAACCAGTTCTTTTATGACACAGGGCAACAACATAAAGCTACAAGAGTCTAACAATATGTAATGTACATTTTTTGCACTTAAGTTTTCAATTTTATTATTTTTTGGATTGAATCACTAAAATGTTTTTTATTACATTAAATTTGGTCCAAAAGTTTAAAAATTATGCATTTAAAGATTATAAATTCCTTTGATGTCAAGCATACATTAAACTTAAATATTAAAGTCATTAAAATGCTATTTTATCATAAATTTTATTGTCAATTTAATTTTGTTTTGCATTCATAATTTACATACTTCTTTTTTCTTTTTTAATAAGAAATACCAGTTATTCACATGGCCTATAGTCATGTATCGCACCATTTTCATGATATCTAATTTCATTCGATGTTATTTTTTCACATCACTTAGCTGCTTTACCTGCAATTTATAAATTTATAAATTTTTTCACATCACTTAGCTGCTTTACCTGCAATTTATAAATTTCCTCCATAATTTTCCAATATGCTTGTAATTTTTAATATTTCATGAAGTTATTTGATCATTTCATTTACTTTATGCATCCAATAGGTTAAATTTACAATTTTTTGGAAAATGCAGTTTGCACTATTTCCAACCATTTAATTACGCAAGTCTAATTCAATTTTTATTTTTAATTTGATGAATGGAATTTAGCTAAGTTCTACAACTTCATTCTGGATATAGATGGAGTTGGGAAACTAATGAACCTTATTGGAGTTGGGAAACTAATGAACAACTTCACTTCATTTAAAACACTTTTTAATTTAATTTTACTTCCGAATTGCCAGACTGTTCATTAGATGGCTCAGAAACAAGGATACAGTTTCAATTCTTGAGACACCAATTCCCTGAAGATGATGTCAAAACAAATGTAAGTCCACAATCTCTGCAATAAATAATTTACTTTGCAGTGTTATTTGAGGAAAGGGGGTCTCATTCTACTCAGACGTATTTTAATGTTGCTATCATTGGAAGAATAAGAATTCAAAAATACATTTTTTTCTTTCTATTATAACACTAAATTTACAACAGCTTGCAGTGAATTATTTCGTTATAATTTAATTTGAACTCCTGTGATTATAACTTTTTTCACTCATTGCTCACTTTTTAAAGTATAATATATAAAATGAAGCAGGTGACACAGAAGATGAAGCTGGGTATGTTGTGCTTTTTTCTTCCAATAAATACATAATCATGGACTTGTACATGATCACTTTTATTGAAGCATAATTAACAGAATGGAACCTAAGCATTGAGCAGGGGTACACCAGCTGTTCGATAATTTCAAGCAAATTTTTCACATTTTTTACAGTATATATATACTGTTACTGTTTAGGAAATATATATATATATACTACAATATTTCTTCTTATTATATATATATATATATATATATACACACACATATATCAGTTTTAATGGTTTAGTTCATTTCATCATAACTACATCTAACTAACATCTTATCGAGACAAACAAGATTACTATACATGTATTTAACCCCTTAACTGCCGCGGGCGTATATATACGCCTTGCTCAGCCGATGCGTTAACTGCCCCAGGCATATATATACGTCCTTCCAAACTGCTATCATTTGCTTTGCGCTGCTACACCTAAAATTATTCGCAAAGTTAACGCATCGGCTACGCATCTGGGGCAGTTAACGCATCGGCTGAGCAAGGCGTATATATACGCCCGCGGCAGTTAAGGGGTTAATTATTCCAAAACATTCTTGACATGCAAAGTGCAATTAAAATTTTGTGGCTAAATCAACTAGAACAAGACATTTAGAGCCGTCTTTCTCCAGTGAACATGAAGCTTTATATGTATGGACAGTATCTACCCTACACACAGGGAATTAATTAACTGTATAAGGAATCGCTGCACTAAAAGTGGCCTATGGCAAATCATTTGCAAATGTGGTCTAAAATCTAAGGTTTTTAATCGTGATACGGCTTTTTGAATTCGCTTATGAAGAATTGTATTTAACAGCATTTATTAGCTAATTTTTTAATTACTTGTTTTAGGCTCTGTCTTGATAAACTTCCAAATAAAGGTAGTTCCATAATAAAAGAAAGTTAAAATATTTAAAATTATAAGCCAATATACACCAAATAGCAACAAATTTCATGAGTTGATAAGGTGGTCATGCCACTCAGGGGGTAAAAAGGAGGTGGCTACTTGAACTGGTAAAACTTATGCTCAAAAAATTCATAGTTCTATAGCTATGTCAGGAATTTCAATACATCAAATGGGTATTTGCATGCCCTTATGGACGATGATAGAAAAAGCGGGTCAATAAAGGGTGCTGAAAATATGGTAGAAAGTTTCAGAATCAAGCATGAATACTATGTTTGAAAAACATGTCTAATCAAATGCCAAAGCATAAGAGAAATGCAAGTCTGGATGATTTCAAATGCTGCAGTGTTGAGGCAAGAAACCATGCTGTAGCAGCCAGCATCCTTCATGTTATAAAGAAAGGTAACAAAATACAATTGATAATATGACATCACGATGGCCTCAACTGCACTCACAAATCAAATTATTGCTTGCATGTTATCTTTCATGCAGCTTGAACTATGACTAACCTCTGGAATGATTACTGAGAGTTACCTTTAGGGAAAGTGAGCGTTTATACAATTTTAGTCAAGAAACTGAGAATGAGAAAAATGCATGCAAACATTATGCTAAACTGTTTGACTGGTGCACAAAAAACTGAAATGTAAGAAGTCTTGTGTTAACTGCTCAACCGCAACTTTCTCAATAGGATGTGAGTCTTGGATTTTCAAACATAATTTAACATTGAAGTAATAAAGAATAAAATAAGAAAAGAAAACAACAAATACAAGAATCTCAAAGAAAAGATCCAAAATTAAAATCACAATCAGTTTTTTCCAAAACTTGTGGAATAGTGCACTGTAAATTCATTCCAAAAACGTAATCCATAAATACCACTTTTTACATAAATGCAATGAGATACTTGTGAAACTGCATGCAACGTGTACATGCAACAGACTTTGAAAGGAAGTAGATGGAACAGTTCATCATGACAAAGTGCTATTGCTTAAAGATTTTCTGTAATTCCTTCATAAACTTTCTTGATAGAATATGTATACTGATCTGCTACAACTACAATATGTCTTATCTACTTGTAAAATGGATGACTGTTAAATGGTACAATTCTTGTGCAATGTACTAAATGTAAAAACCAGCCTCAAACGTTATTCAGTTTTTCAACTGCAACAAGAGGTTAGTCAGAATTGCTCAAATAAGGCAGTACTTGTAGCAGATGGATGTGGGGGAAGGAGGTTTCAAAGAGAGGACAGAAGAAAAGATAAAAATGGAGGGAGCACAGCAAAGGCTGTATTGTTCAGTGAGTCACTTTCTGCCACACTTTACAAATGTCGTTATTAATGTATGTTGTTGTTGTTTAGATACTGAGTCTTCACCATGCAATTTAATGCCAAATATGCGCTTTCATTGCTGAATACTACTGTAGAACTAATTCATATAGCGATAGTTATGCTAAATTTGCAGCAACATTTGGGATGGATTCTTTTGTGAAAAGCACAATTCTGGATGTGATACAGAAATTCCATGACATGGGGTCTGTATTTACACGTGAAACAGAGGAAGACTGTACTAACAGAAATTGCACAGATATTCAAAATGCCAAATCTTTCGATTGTTAACCAAGATATGCATATATATCTGTCTGGCTTACCTGCACAGCTGTCAGTGGGAAAATTCTACCTACATAACCTAAATAAAAGTTTTCTTCTCAGTGAAAGACAAAAGCTATGTTAATTATGTCCTACGGCTAATGGTTCAAGACTTCCATCGGTAATGACATCACAGTATTATACTGCAGAATTTTCACTTGAAGCATGGTTCTACATTAGCAGCTATGCATATGAGCAGAGTTAGTGAACATGATATTCTAAAACTCCATGTGTTTGTAGAGTCTTCTCTTCATCCTCAGAAAACTGCTCTATAGTGTCGCATGTGAAAGCAACAAACTGTACAATCCATTTCATCAAAACAATATTAGATAAAGGGACCTATCAACATACTATCATGCAATTTGTTGCCATACAGGAACTTGGTTAATGTTAGTATTAATTTCAACTAGACAGTAGAACCTGTCATACAGCAAAGTCAGCTACGAACACATTCAGTAATTTCATCAAGATGACAAAAGCCTGTCAAGCTCTCCAGATAATTTTCTTGTGGGGTTATCTGAAATGGACAACATCCACATACTTCACAAGAGTTGAAGGATCACATTACTGCAGCCATTAAGAATATAATACAGGAGTGCTCCATAAGATGCTAGGATTAGACAAATCATCTGGATGTGCACCGAAGGACATCATCTCCCAGCATTTATTGCAGAATACTATATATTCTGAGTTCTAGTTCATGACCAGTTTTAAACTGAATGCAGTGTATTACATGAAACATACCTTCAGGTTCCATTTTGATTTTAGCATTGCCTGCCCATATCAATAGTAAAATCATTACACAAACAAATGTTAAATTTTTTAACTTGGTTTCCAGTTATTACACGTCTATTAACATATACATTCATAAGTGCCTCTTTTAAGTTGTGTTCCATTGGTCCAACCTTCCTTTAGTGAACACTCATGGGAGCTATTACCAGAAAGTGTCTGCTATATGGAAGTGCAGTGATCTCTCAGTTTGAGGATCTGGTGATTTAGGAACTGTTAATAAATGGGCAGTATGCAGTGAAATAGAGTGAGTGTCCATCAAAGGAGCTTTGATTGTATTTTGTTATAACGTTTCTGTTGATGATCTAGAAATTATTCTCATGATCTGGATGTTATGAAAACCAGCAGTAAAATATATCCTTAAATAATTCAAGGAAATAACTGCTATATAAACACAAAACTTTATGATTAGATCTAAACAGCTTTCGAACTCAAGTTAACGATCTTCCACTGACTCTACTACTCTGCTAAAACAACTGAAATGATGCAAAAAATGAATCTCCTGCCAAGCAGAACAGCAATATGGAATCTTTAAAGCTGCATCACACTTCTGTTTCAACATCACTGATGGACAACTGCAAATGGAAGCAAGGTGGAATCCAGATGGCAAACTAGATTCCCCTAAGAAATGAATCCTTAGGATGATGTAAGCTACTAAAAATCAAAGCTGTACTGCTTGAACTGTTATAATTATCAATAAGAATACAATGGACTATATTAAGAGCTGTGTTTAATAAGAACAAAGATATTTCTCAGAAATACAAAATTTAGTGCATATACAGCTATTAATATAAGAATTCTCTTAGATGTTACATATGAGGGCATTTCAAAAAGTAAAGATACAATGGCTCGCATTCCTTAAAAAAAAAACACTTATTTAGAATACGTCAGTTACATCTTATTAACTGGATTATTTATTATTTTTCGACATAATCACCTCCGTTATTCAAACATTTGTTAAGTCGGTGCACAAGCTTTTGTATCCCACAGTCATAGAAGGTTGCCGCCTGTTGTCGGAACCACATTTCAACTTCATCTTTGATCTCATAATCATCGTGGAATGATTTTCCACCAAGATGTGACTTCAGGTAACGGAATAAATGGAAATCACTGGGCGCAAGGTGCGGGCTGTATGGCAGATGGTCCTATACTTCCCATTTGAATTGTTTGAGTAGTGCTTTAGTTATGAGCTGTGTGTGAGGCCGAGCGTTGTCATGAAGCAAGCGGACTCCATTTGTCAGCATTCCCCTGCGTTTGTTTTGAGTTGCCCTTCGAAGATGTTTCAAAGTCTAGCAATATGTAGCAGCATTAACTGTCCTTCAGGGAGGCATAAATTCCAACAGAAGAATGCCTTGTCTGTCCCAAAAAACAGAAGGCATGATTTTTTTCGCTGAAATCGAAGTTTTGCATTTCTTGGCTTTTGGTGAATTCGAACAGTGCCATTGCACTGATTGTTGCTTGGATTCAGGTGTATGGTGATAAACCCACGTCTCGTCACCTGTCGCAATCTGATCAAGGAACTCATCACCTGCTTCTGCATAGCGTGTGAGGAAGGTCGAGTGCATAGCCCATCCTTTTCTTTTTGTGTTCTTCCGTTAACATTTTTGGAACCCAACCAAACACACAATTTCCTGTACCCTAACTTGACAGTCACAACTTCATAAAGAGTTGTCATTGACACTTCCAGTATGATCTGATGCAATTCTTTCAATTTGAGACGTCTATTCACACGAGTTGCTTCCTCTGTTCTCTGTTCTCTGAAGAAAGGCGTCCGAGATCACAGATGGCCGACCTGTTCTTTGTTCATCATGAACATCGGTCCTACCTTCAGAGAAATGACGACACCATTTCATTACAGTTTGTCGATTCATAATGTTCCCATAAACAGAAACAATTTCTCTGCGAATATCCGCTGGTCGTTGACCTTTTGCATGAAGAAAACGTTATGACAGAGCGCACTTCGCATTCTGGCGGGATTTCTGAATCGGCTCAACCATTTTAACACACGACCTACTCCAACCAGAATCAACATTGAAATGCTGAATGACCGCGAGGAGAAAGCTAATGGTTCAAGGTTAACACCTGTATTGCCAACTTGCTCACCAAAACTTTTCTTTTCCTCTGGCGTACAGTGTATCTTTACTTTTCAAAATGCACCCGTACTTAAAATAATGAGAATGGAAACATATTCTGCTGCTGCTGAATAAACGAATGAAGTACCATATTTGCCGGCGTATAAGACACACCGGCTTCTAAGATGCATCCCCCTTTTTTATACACATTTTTCAAGGATAAAACTTTATTACTGATCATTATAATTCCGTCAAGTTGTCATCATTTTCTCAGTTGCGAGAGGCCCGAAATGCTTCTCTGCAGCCCTGTTTCCATGTTCTTTAGCATATGCAATCAATCACACGTAGCTTGTATGCTATGTTATAGCAATGCCCATGTTGTTTCTGAGCCATAACTTGCCAACAAATTTAAGAAAATTGAACAGTAGAAACTTCACAAACTTAGAAGCCGTTCACAAAAATTGGAAAGCTTAAACGAACCCAGCTGTAATCATTGATGACAGTACATGTGTATTCACTGAGCTCTACGTAACTGCAATATTCCCTCACTCCGCAAGGGAATAAGAAAAAAATCGCATAACTTCGATTACAGGAAATTTCCAGAAATGAATGTAATCAAAAACTGAGTATTGATGTATAAGATGCAGCCCATTTTTCAGACCTATTTTCAAAGGAAAAAGTGCATCTTATATGCTGGCAAATATGATGGTTTTCATTTCAGTTTAAAAAAATCAACTTTCTCAGCCTACCCAAGATTCATTTCAAAATTGAAATTCATCACTTATCCATTTACTTGAAATATAATATTCATATTTTTACAGCATTGCACAGAATACATTTAAATATTAAACACACCAGATAAAAATTATCAGGTTAGTTATACTAAAAAAGTTGAGTGGTACAACCCTTTTTCTTTGAACCTAAAATGAATGATAAACTAGTCATTCCTTGAGATATACATTTATTTGCATTAAATAATAATAATAAAGAATGCACTTTTACCATAGATTAATATTTCAATAACTTCTCCACTTCCTATATTTAAGAATGGGACAGTAAATTTCCAATACCTATAGGATTTGAAATATGTAACTAAAAATGTCAACAGTAAAACCTAAAAAAAAAGAAAAAAAAAATAAGCAACTTTAAAAAAAAAGAATACAATTATGAAATCAAATAAAATTTGTATCATCAGCAGCCCACCAAAACTGCATATCTATGAAATGGTTGTTCTCAGAAAACACATTAAAAAGGCTTGTCATGAATTTCAATTTAAGTAGAACCAGGTTAAAACTTCTATATTATAATTTTTGAAATATATTCCTCTCTCTCTCTCTTTTCTTCATCATTAAAAAAAGGGGGGAATCTGAAAGCTTTCAGATTTTATATTATGCCCAAACAGGTGTTTTTTAGCATTTTGTGTGTTACCCTTATTTATTAAATATCATCACTTAAACCACATAAAATTCAATTCGACAGCAATATCACAAAATATTTAAAACAGCATATCTTTAGAACTTCTGACAGGCAGTCTTGTGCACTAAAGATAAAAATGTTTTTTGCCTGTATAGAGTTGTCATTGCTTAATTTGAAATCGTTGAGTTTGTTAATCAAAAAGTCATTACAGTTTTACAAAATATGAAATAGATAATAAAAGAAATTCAAAACTCAGACTTCAGGCTTCCATGTGCCCATGTTCGGGTGCAGAATTATGTTATTCAAAATTTGATGGTTCTAGGTACTGTAATTTTGTTAAATATAATACTGGGCAACATTTGGTGGGAACAATTTAAAAAGTAACATGCCATTTACAGTGAACCAATGCAAAATGTTTCGAGACCAATAGCTGATCTGGGCTTAAAAAGGGGGGAAAGAAAATAAATAAATGGTAGCAGCAAAAAATGCAAATCTGTGGTATTGGCATGACTTTGATGATGTATACATGAGAAAATTATGGAAAACAATTTGCTATTCAAGGAAGTTATGATTTAAACTAGCATCTCACGAATATTAATGCATTTATGGTACTTTTAAAGTTCCTTTCTTATCAGCATTAACCTGCATTACTCACCTAGAAATATTTTATAATTCTGGCATGTTAATTTTAGAAAAATAATCAGAAAACATACATTCCACTTAAAAAAATGAGCACTGTATTATTAAAATAATTTCCACAGCTAATTTTTTTCCTTCCTTAATGTACAAATACCTACAAATGTTACATTCTGCATAAACCAACACAATGGTAATATCTTCCTTATTTTTATTAAAATAATCTGAAACACAGCATTAAATTCTCATATTTCGAACAAAATTTACAGCTTTCAGAAAAAGAAAATGCATTTAAAAATTTTTATTCATTTAAAAAGAAAAGAAACACATCAATATAAAAATTAAAATCAGGCAAAATCTTAGAGTGGTGTAGATTTTGAACAGTACTCTATACATTTCAAGGCAAGCTGACAGTTTCCTCTTCTTCAGAAGCAAAAACATTTTGAAAAAAAAAAAAAAGGTTTATTCAAAATTTACATCAAGCCTCATCACGGTAACCTTGCCTAATTTTAATTCATTTGTTTAGTTTATGAATTAACAGAAAATTGTGGAACAAATTATGGAATAGATAAATGAAAAGCCATGATGATGACATTTTGATACTTATTTTAAGGAACTTTTAAATTATTCAATAAAATAAATATAACATATACATTATCTACAACATGTTACTCACATAATTTTATTCTAAATTCTATTCAGTATATTATTTGCAAAAACTTCATTTAAGCATTACTACATAAGCATTTACATATATATAGCAGAATTCTGATAAACTGCACACCTCAGGACCAAGGGTTGTGCACATTAGCAAATTTTATAGATTTCAGATATTTATGAGTTTTGTTTGCAATTTCTCCCTTCTAATTTTTTAATAAACGTGGATAGTAAGAACATAAATAACAAAATCATGCTTAAAGAATTACAGTCAAAAGTCGTTAATCCGGACTCGTCGGGACTTCGGCGATTCCGGATTATTGATTTTTCTGGATTATAGATTATCAGTTTAAATCTCGTAAGATGGCATGCAGAAATTATAAAATTAAAAATATGAAACCGTAATTTATGAAATAAAGAACAATTATGATCTAAAGGGTATCAAAATTTACAAAAAGAAGCTTAATATTTATTTGTTTACTTTATTAAACATTTCTTTCAATGCAAGTTGTTTAAGTTGCTTCGTTTTATGTGATAATTCTTTCTCTTTAATTCTATAAACAGACATAATTTCTTGTTCAGTTAAAAAGTTCCGCTGTTCAAGTCCCGTAATTGCTGTGCTGAGAATACCGACTAACTTGTCAATCGAAATTTTTCGTTTTCACTAACCTCTCTGTCACCTTCTTCATGTCATTGAAATATTCTCCATTTTTTGTTGCAATTCCACTTTTTGTTTAACGGACATCGAAACATACTTTCGTTTCGTAGATCCTTTGAGAGCTCTAGCATCGGAAATTCTATTTGACATAATCAAAAGTTCAAGTTTACTTTTATAAAATTGCTCTTACAGTCTGCAAAAAATAATAAGCCGCATCCAATTCGAAGATTAAGGAACAACGCAAACATCTACATTAACTGAAATAGATAATTTTAAGCTTTTACGTTCTTATACCGTTTCGTTATACCTTAAACTGCGGTTTCGCACAACATATTCGCTGGTTTGTGTACAAGGTCTTATCCGCGCACCGCCTAAAATCTATGCGCATGTGTCAACGCGGCGCATGCGCAGAAAGTTTAGCTTTTAGCTTTGAGTCCGGATTATGGGTGTCCAAATTACCGTTACTGAATACTTGACTTAAAAAGAAAATTGCCAGTACAGGGAAATACAATACATTGATATAAGAAAATGCCAGTACAAGGGATAAACCAGGGAGCTTTCTCCTAAGATATTACGGAAATCATTGAAAAGATGTCGGCAAAAAGACAAATTAAAATGCTTTATATGAAAGAAAAATTGCATATCCACATTTCAAGTTATTTTTAATAACCTTTCTGCTATTAAATGAAAGAAAAATGAAATACATAAATTATATACTGTTAACTAATGTATGGCTTTACCTAAATGAAATCCCTATGCTAAATCCATCATTATGTTCTATGCATGTGTAAACAGATTAAATTATGAGCAGCTGAGAAGTGCTACTAGAATAGAACTTTTGGAGTCCTTAAAAAGAAAATTTCTGTTTTTTTTTTTTTTTTTTTTTTTTTTTTTTTTTTTTTTATAGCTGCTACCATATTTTTGATTTTCAGTGGCACATAAATCCTTATAAGGTCTATTTTTAAGAATCTACCTATACTGGCTGAAAATTCCATTAATTGTGTAGAATGCAAACAAAGCAGTTATGACGTGTGTTTTATTTGAACCCCAGTATCTGAAAAGATGTGAATAAATAAATTCTTTACACATGTTAAGAACTTAAAAGTAATACTGAATGCCAACAGATTATCCACTCAAAAACAAAGATTTACAAATGAAAAATTTGCATTCATGATGCTTGATTATTACAAAAAAAAGTTAGTCAGAAAATGTTATATAACTTCAAAAGGGTGTCCCCGAATGACATGTACAAATTTGGGGGGGGAGGTAGAGAACATCAAGAGGAGCCATAATGACATTGGAAAGCATAGGTGGAAACATAACCCTAATGAGATAAAGAGTCACAAAGACAGTAAGGCAACAACACAGAATGTAGTGTAAAGCGCTTTATTACAAATAATAATAATAATAAATAAATAAATAAAAAGTATGACATAAAAGCATCACAGGAGGTATTCAAAATTGTGGCCATTGGCATGTATGCCCGCACAACACCGGCACGACATGGATTGGCGGACATGGGAATATGGGTGTTTATGCTCTTTGCGGCCGCCCAGTACCTTCAATCCTGGTTCTGAAGGATCCACGTTCTGCCAGGTTCTCATGCAACTAAGCAAATATTTGATGATTCGGTTGCTGCCTCGTTGGATATCTTTCCCTATAAACCAAACAGCAGTACATCCATTTCCGTTGGCTAAGCCATACACGAAGTGGATATCCGCTAAGTCAGCATTTGAAAAATGATTCAAGTCTATCACACACTATGCATGTTTGAAATGATGAAACCACACGTGCCGACCTTGCGAGCTCAAGTATGGTGCCACTTATAGCTTTTGGCTTATGCTTTCCAATGTAATCATGGCTCCTAACGATGCTCTCTACCTCCCCTCAAAGTTTGTACACGGCATTCGGAGACACCCTGTATAGTGTACTTTCAAAACTTTCATTTCTAAGAATTCATGAAAAATTCCTATTAAATTAACCATGATGAATTTTCTAAAATTTGAAATTTTGTTTATTTGCATAGTACTAAATTGCACTTAAAATGCTTATTCAAATGCTTGTGCAGCTTTACTACAAGTTCACTCAGTTGCAAATCATTATAAATACATGACATATCGTGAAAAAAATATTTTGATTAATGAAAGGAATTTTGCCTTTTAAAATTATAAAACTACGAACCAAGCTATTTTTCATGAAAAAAATTTTTACTTTTAAACCTGAACTATCATGCTCAACCAAAAGTTAAAATTCAACAAGCACGTATTTAGAACACAAAGCAAATAAGGTACAGTAACCCCTCCTTTAGATACCCAAGCTTTTAACTCTTGGTCCATTATGCTCAAAATTTAGTTATACAGTACAAAGTCCATAATCCGGACGTCTATTATCTGGAATGATCTATAATTCGGACCTCAAAGACACAAACTTTTTTCTGTATGCTTTACACAGGCACATTAACCCTCTAACCGTATATATACGGCCTAGAATATTTTTTGTGATATCTGTAAGAACGTATATATACGTGCATATTAAAATATGTCAAAGAAATTAAGGCAATATATCAACAAAAAATTCAGATATGAAATACCAGAAGAGTTTTTACATTAAAATCAAAAAATAATTTGTTCTCATAATAATTTTGGGAATGTGCTTTCTTAGCGAAACCCCTGGCCGCTCAGACGGTTAATGCATGTTTACGCATGTGCATTGGGAAGATGTGTGTCCAGATATGTTAAAAAATACTTGGCAAAATTTATGGCCAGCTACCATATTTCACGGTGAGGACGATGAAGATGATAGCTGTGAATTTGAAGGTTTTTGGACAGGTGAAATTTTCCAGTTATTGGATTTTGTAAAGAAATGTGGAGAAGTGGTAATAAAATGAAGATGATATAACAGAAGTTTTTCATTGCGACGACAATGCCCCAATCATCAATCAATTAACGGATGGCAAAATCTGTAGTATGATTCTAGATCCAGAAAATACCGCTTCCGATAGTGAAGAAAGTGACAGAGAGGTTATTGAAAACGAAAAAGTTTCGATTGACAAGTTAGTCGGTATTCTCGACACAGCATTTACAGGACTTGAACAGTGGAACTCTGTAGCTTAACAAGAAATTATGTCTGTATATTAAAGAAAAAGTATTAACACAAAAAAAAACGAAGCAACTTAAACAACTTACATTGAAAGAAAAAAGTAAAGTAAACAAATAAGCTTTTTTTATGTAAATTTTGATACCCTTTAGATCATAATTGCTCTTTATTTCATAAACTACGGTTTCATATTTTTAATTGTACAATTTCTGCATGCCATCTTACCAGATTTAAATTGATGATCTATAATCCGGAATCGACGAAGTCCCGAGGAGTCCGGATTACGGACTTTGTACTATATTACTTTAAGTATTTTTACTTGCTATGACAGATTTAAGCTAAATGTTATGAATGTTTTCTTTGCTACTGCAAATTACTAAATATCTGAAGGCATTATATACAGACCAACATTTCAGTAAGACTGATTTTATTTATATTTTTCAAGAATATTTTATATAACAGCAAAGATGTACTAAAAAGAGTGCATAGCATAATTTTGCTTGAATTATTGATTACAGATGCATAGTACCAGTTTTAACAAGAGAAAAATCTTTTCCCTAGATGAATTTTACAATTAAAGCTAACACCATCAAACTTAACAAATTTAATTAATAATCTTTTTTAAAAAGTAAATTTCTGAAAGAAACCTTTTACATCAAAATAGATGAAGAAAGATGCAAGGGTTTTAATTTCTTATTTGTTTAAAAGTTAATTTTCAAAATTTCTTCATCTTATATAATTTTTTTACAACACTTGGAATTGGTTTTTCATCATTCGATAAATGACATTAATATAATTTAGGCAAATTTTTCAGCCAATTTACCATACTACACACCAAGTGTTTTAACTATCTGGAAAAGATGAAGAACAACCAGCTGTAAGCACTTTCCTAATAAAGTGAATAAGAAAATTAAAATTTTGCATATTTTAAGTAAAATGTGTAAGTGATTTAAAAAGACTGCCATAGTCTGAAATCTTACTTACTTCATTCATTCTTAATTGCAGCCATAAGCATATGACCAACTGTTTAAGAGATGTTTAATTGCATAATCTTTTCAAAACATACTGTGTGGGTCTACATACCTTTCAGCTTTTACATTTAGCAATCAGAGCTGCAAAATTGACAAATTTTTAATTCAAACTGCTCTTTGCCTTTTATATCAAAATAAGTTTCTGCTACAAAAAAACTAAGTTTACTTTGCCAGCATTTCTTCCCTACTAGGAAAAATTATTTTTGCATATTTTAATATTTTGCTAACAATGTACAACCACTAATACAGGAGCTTAAACACTTTGAATTCAAAACACATACCCAAAAACAAAATTTTGCAGAAACAACAAATTTGTCATAAACTCACCATTTGAGAAATATCATAACCCCATGGAAGATAGAGTACTCCAGTATTGTATTTCTCCCAGTGAGAAAATATAAAGCACAAGTGAACACTCCATAAAATAAAAAATACTCTGAGGGGACTGCAGCTATATTCTCCACAACCAAACACTGAATACATACATGTTGGCATGAATAAGGCCGTCCAACTATCAAGTCCATGATCCATAATTTCTCCCAAAGGGCCTGAAGAATTTGTCCGACGAGCATGCTTGCCATCAATGCCATCTAAAACAATTTAATTATGATTACTGAGCAGTTTCAATAATATTACAATCACCCTACTGAAACATTGTTATAATACCTGCAGAAATATTTAGGTGAAATAATAAAATAATACTGAATATTAAAATCTGCTGTACCAAAAAAATTTAAACTCATTTAAAAAATTTCATTAATATTTTTGCATACATAAAATTCAATAAAAAATGTAAATAATTAAAATTTACAGTTTATTCAAACAACTATTTCTTATTTTGACATATTCTTCCCATGAAATAACTAAATTTTATACATTTTGTTCAGTTCAATGCTGTTCTAATCTTTCACTTGAATAAAATCGAAAACTCAATTCACTTTTCAAAAATCACATCTAACAAAATTCTGCTTCCATTCCCATGTTAAATAGCAAAACATGATGGGAAATTTATGACCAGGATGCATATTATTGAATGGAATATCTTATTCTTTAAAATTCATCATGGCAGATCTATTAAAAGATCTTTAACATATATCTTTTTATTTAATTCTTTTTACTAAATTTCTAGCTCTGAAAATACTTATGACTATTTTCAAGATAGGTATTTCTGAAAAACTATCATCACTGTACAGCTCGCAACATGATATTTACATACATTATAACTTGGCAAATATTCAACACAGGTTTTTAACTGTAAATCCAAGTCTGCAAAGGTTTTTGAAATTGCAAATAAAAATAGAAGCTATTCCATGCATCTAAATGAAAATAAAATAATTTCAACTTTTGCTCACGCAAACTTGAGTTTAAGCTCAATGATAAATAACAAGTTGAAATGAAAGATCACAAAATCAATCAAAGCTTACAAAGACATCACTAAACATGCTTTGCAGTAGAATTCTTCAAGAGATGCAGGCTGAAGATCAGGAAAGTTTTGGAGCGGGACATGTAACTGTATACACAAATCTGCTGATCTAGCAGGCCACTGCATCTGAAGCAGAATTTCACATTTCAGGTGCCATTCCACCAACAGCACTCTATGGAATCACTCATACATACTGTTGTGTGTCAGCATTTTATATAGCTACCCTGAATAAACACACCAGAAAGGTACCTTTATTGCAGCTCCAGGAGATAACAGTGTAACATTTCAGTTGGCTAACAGTAAAACTTAGGTTTATTTTTTCCTTTATGATTCTGTTGGGAATGGTAATAGTTAAAGTTAGTTACTGCTAGATGATGGCTGGGGATAATACTCTTAAAATGTCAATTAGATTTTGCTGCATAAGTTCACGAGATAAATATTTAAAAATGATCTAGTAAATTTATGAAATATTTTAACATATAAATATATATATATAACTTCTGTTAAAATTTTATTTTATACAGGGTGCAGCAGCGTTCATAGTGTAATTTGACTCGCATAGTACAATGACGAACTGCGTGAATGCGGGCCAACTCGTGCTGCATTCGTGCCCTAATGAGTTGCCATTTCGAGTGTGAGAATGATATGGATCGGTGGAGTGCACAGCATCGTGCCTTTGTTGCTGAAATTTATTTCAAAAATAACTACTCTGTTATTGCTAACCAACGTCTATTTCGGCAACATGTCAACTGGGACGTCATGGGAAAGTTCCAGATGGACGGACCATTGCGACAGACATTTCCAGGTAGAGTAATTTCCCATTTTGGTGACATTTCCTAGCTGCCTTGCTCACCTGATCTTTCATGCGCAGACTTTTTCCTTTGGGGCCACATGAAGCAAGCAGTTTTCCGAACACGTTGTGCCACCATTCCTGAGTTGAAGGATCGCATCAGAACTGCCGTCGGCAATGTCCCAGGGAATACGTTACGCCGAGTTATGGCAAGCTTCCAACGCCACCTAGATGAATGTGTTGTGCATAGGGGGCATCATTTGACAGACACAGGCACCATTTTCAAAAAGTAATCCATGCAATGGACAATGACTTACACATTAGTAAATGACATTCCTTTAACTATTAATTGACATAAGAGGTAATAAATAAATTACAGTTACTGCCTTGTGGTGTGTTTTTAACATCCTACTATGAATGCTGCCGCACACCATACTTAATTTTGTAACCATCCAGATTGTGACTGAATTAACAGTAACTGTATAGTAACTAAAAAATATAGTTTGAATAAAAAGAATTAGAATTTGTCTCAAGTGTGTTTTGATTGTATCCTGTTTCAAAAAGCATTTGAACCAACATGCAACTAATAAAATAATTAATAAAAGAAAGAGGCATGTAACCAATTGGTGAATTTGGACTGCAACATTTTTACCATGGACAATGATAAAACTGCCCAAGTTGCAAATGCTAGCAAGGTGAGCAAGAAAATTTCACCATTTGGGCCAAAAGATCAAAGATGTGGTTTTACTAAGTAGAGGCCCAATTCCTAATTACAGAGTTCGTACACATTTCTGCACACGTAAATTAAGTACTTTTAAGGACTTTTAAGGAGCATTAATGAAAAAAATTAAGGACCTATGAGCAAATGGGAACTGAATAAATTTAATTAAAAATATTATTCTATGCCTGAATTTCACTTTTGCAATATCATCCTAAAAATAAAATAGATCCCTAAGTAGTATGCATTATTACTAAACATGAATTAATGAACATAATTATTAATAAGTTTGAGAATAAAATAAAACTCCATGCGGTTTATCAAGTAGCATTAAATATTTTACATTTATAATGGGTTTGACATATTTGAAAGAAGATATGTGACATTTACATTTTACTAATAGTTAGCTTTATGTTGATTTTTTATGCCTCATTTTGTCACATACTTGGTCATTCTAGAGGAGAGGTTCTCAACCGGTGGTACGCAAGAAAAAAATAGGTGGTACACAAACAAGCAAAGTATTTTGAGCTATTTCTTCCAAAACAGTAAGTGGTAGCAGTACTTTTTAGTAGTGGTACTAAAGGTTTTCAATTTTTGTTTAGATGGTACACGTTAGTCAAAAGGTTGAGAACCGCTGGTCTTGAGGTTTCGTAAATAGCAGGTAGATTTTATGTCAAATGGCATAGGTAAAATGAGAAGCAAGATCATAATCAGCATCATTCATAACAAAAGATTGAATGTTATCACCGCTGCTGCTCGTCTAGAGAGAGACCTGCTGATTAGAACAAACCTGAAAGGCCTGATGTAGGCACGGTTGGTAGTTGTTGAAAGTTAGTCAGGCTCTGTTTGATGCAGTTAGTGTCATAGCTTTGTGTAGATTTCCAGGGGTTGTAACCCAGTTAATATACTTTCAGGTTCCAATAAGGCATTAAAGCACCAGGTTGTTTTGCATTATTTTAAGTCTCACTAGATGCAAAGAATAAGTTATACTTGAATTTCTACATTTTTGTGTTTTATCTTGTGATCACAGTGAGTATTAATGAAAGGCAATAACTTGATTTAATATGTAAAGATGTAAGCAGTTAGTTATAAATAATTAAATTAGGTAAATAATTAACCTTAGTCATTGATTTACATGGCCACTATTAAATTTTTTTTAAACAACTAAAAGTATTGTACTAATTAAAAAAGGCCTATTAAAATCAAAATCTAATAAAAATTCACAGTTTAAAATGCATGTAATTTACGACACTGATTCTTAAAGGATATTAGAATAATTACGCATTGAAAGCTACAAAACATTTATGTTTCTTAACAACACCCAACAAAATATTTATCCATCATTTTAATTTGAAGCCTTCCCAGACATTTTGTCTAGTTCATATCGATTTCCTTCTCTATTTTAGCATCTTTTCTAACAATTAGAGATTTGTCTCAATATGCAAACCAATGCTCTCCCTAGTTTCTGCGTGCTTTATCTCCTAACTTGTCAACCTCTCCGCAATGTACCTATGAGGGTTTATTTGATCTGGTAAAAGTTAAATAGTTCAAAACCCACGATAGACGTGAAGCAAATTACCACCATGTCTGAAAGTAACTACAATATCAGACAAAGGTTTAAAAAAGCCTCTTATTTAAAAAGAACTTAGAACAAACATAAAGGCATGTTCTGATGCTTCGCTTACATCTTGCGGTGATATAATTAAACAAGAACAGTCAAATTCAAACTAAAAATGTGGACTAGTGGTCAAAGATTATACAACTTAATTTTAATTTAATCTGGCTCAGTAACTCTATCATAACAAGAAATAGAAAGGGAACATTATAATAAAGGCTGAAATAATAAACCTTTGGGTAATTTACATAATAATAACTGCACATATTTTTGAGGAATAATTTTCTTTATGTATTCATTTCCTTTTACAACATGTTTCCTTTTCATTTTAGAATTTTTGGATTTAATTAAGGATTTCTGATTCTGTTTTTCTAAAAAACACTAAATGCATTTAGAATGTATAGAAAAAGTGGCTAATTTAATTTCTTTAGTAATATGAATTTCAGAAGAAATATGAAATATATATTGTAAAGGCCAGTTACAGAGCTGATGTGGCAGAATTTTTAGAATTTAGCGACACACCAAAAAAAAAAAAAAAAAAAAAAAAAAAAAAAAAAAAAAAAAATCTAGAAATGGCAAAACTTTTAGAATTTAGACAGGCATTGGAAGCAGAATTTAGAAAGGCACTATGCAGTCGAATTTAGGATCCACGAAGATTGCATCAGATGGGAAAATGCTTAGTGCCAGCTCTGTGTATTATGCGTTAAGACATATTAGATGGATCTTTTAAATTGTAAGTTTTCAATTTCCTTATAAATAAATAAAAAAAAAAACCTTTCCTATAATGCCTGCCCAAGTGATAAGATTAGAAGCATTTTTGATATTTTCCATGCTTGTGTCTAGTGAAAAGTAGAGAAAATAAAGGGAAGATAAACATGTTAAGAAAATGATTCTAGTATCAGGAGTAAAACATTCAAATAGTATGTCTTCATTAGTCTTCCAGACATTCTCCAAAAAGTAAGAAATTCATTGGAAACTTTCTGTAAAATACATCCATTACGCGTTGATACCATGGAGACATTTTTCATTTTGTCTTATATTTAT